ACAGGAGGGGGCCGAGGACTGATCCTTGCGGCACCCCTCGACTGCATGCGACGTATTCCGAGCAATTTCCGCCCACGACTACGCGTTGAAGCCGCTCACTCAGGTAACTAGTGAACCATAGCTGGACAGTACCGCCGACCCCAATGTCGGATAGCTCCTGTGCCAAGATGGTGTGTTTGACACAGTCGAAAGCCTTCGACATATCCACGAATATCACACCTGTGAGTTTGCGCTCATACTTCGCTTTCAGCCAGCGATTGACAGCTAGCACAAGAGCGTCCTCCGTACTGTGGTTCTTCCTGTACGCGAACTGCGAGTCAGGGAGAATACTGTGATCGGTCAGAAAGGATGTAAGCTGAGCTTTGACGATCTTCTCGAGGAGGCGAGAAACGACTGGTAGAAGAGAAATAGGTCGATACGCAGTAGGCTGACAAGGGTCAAGGCCGCCACCTTTGAATAGCGGCGACACATTAGCAATTTTAAACTGACGGGGAACACACCCCTGACATAACGAAGTATTGAAAATGATGCTGAGCGAGGGAGCCAGTATTGATGCCGAGTTTCTAAGGACAATACCCGGCAAGTCATCATGTCCAGTTGCTTTTGACGCGTCAACGGACTGGAGAAGGGCCGTAATGTCCTCCGTCGAAACAGGCGCAAATTCCGTGAATGCTGGTGCTTCACGTTCGGCTGGTGCGTTGGCGCACAGCGCGTCTGGTCGTCCAGGGTCATGTACAACTTCGCCAAAAGTTCGGGAGAGGATTCCAACAGGTACTTGTGGTGGGCTTGAACTTTTCGCTCGTCCAGTCACCACGTTTATCGTATTCCAGAGCTTCCGTCCATCCTTTCCGGCCGACTGTAGGCGAGCTTGAAAATACTGATCCCTTAGCCTCCGATCTAGCTTGCGCGCGGCTGCGCGGAGAGTGCGGTGTTGCTCTCGCAGGCGGACATCGTTTGGAGAGCGTGAAAGAAGTCGGTGGGCCTTGTTTCGTTGACGCACAGCAGATACAAGTTCAGGACACAACCATGGGCAAGGTCGGCGCCTCGGCTTACGAGGAGGTTGTAAGGGGGCGTGACGATCTAGAGCAGTAAAAACCTTTGCGTACCATTCGCTTATCATTGCATCAACATCATTCGACTTGCTGAAAATCTCAAGATTGCAGTCCTGCAAGTCAGCGTTAAAATGCTCCCAGTTTATCCTCCACACTCGCCTCTTTCGAGATGCGACTCGTTCGGACTGCCGGGTGGCGACGATAATGTTGGCCACAAATGCGTAGTGGTCGCTGATGTCACACTTGATGACCGTGCATGTTCCAACTAGAGAGTTAGGGGCGAGGAGCAGATCTATTAGGGTGGAAGTTGATGCCGTTACTCTTGTCGGTGTCCGGATGTGGTTTTCCAGATCAAACCGCTGGAGCATGGTGTGCATCCGGCTGTGTCCCGAGCACATGTCCACATTGAAGTCACCAATGGCGACCACGCGGTTGTTTCGTCGCAAGGTTAGATTGTTCAGACTGATTTCTAGGTCTTGCCATACTGCAGCAGTAGTGGAAGGCGGAAGGTAGGACGTAGCGAGGGTGATGGGTTCACCGGATTCTGTCTTCAAGGTGAGTATCAGATTTTCGATTGTGTCACTCTCGAGTTCAGCGTGTCTGGAAACAGCCAGGGTATCTCGACTGTATACAGCTATACCGCCACCAGGTCTGTGCCCGCGATCGCGCCTAAAGAGTCTATAATGAGGTATATGAATGGATGAGTCAGAAATCGAACAATCAAGCCAAGTTTCAGCAATGCCGAAGATATCTACATTGTGGTAGTTTATGAAGTTTTGGATTTCGCCTAACTTCTTTCTAAGGCTGCATACATTCAGAAAAGCAAGTTTACAAGACTTCTGTCGACCGACAGTAGCTCTATGTAATTGTGGATTCATTTAATAGATCTATAAGGAAGAACTACATCTAGAAACTAATCCAAAACCTAAAACAAAAATACACAGGCAGTTCAAGCATACTATTTCAAGGTGCAGTTCACTGCACCACTTCATGACGGCTCCTACCGCGGCCGTCGTCACCCTCACACTCTTCCTCCCAGTCCGACCCAGTACCATAGAAGTCGTCTGTCTTGGTGGTCGGGCAGACAGCCTTCGCGGACAAGTCGGCACTGGATGATGCGTCACTCCTGGCTCCTCGCTTACGCTTCCTCTCCATGGAGTGCTCCAGCGCACTAAAGCGGTTCGCGACAGAGGGAAAAGCGGAGGCGGTTTGTTGCAAGATTATTGGAGAAAAAGTAGAACACTTTCCACCTGCGACGTGCCAATCTTGCACCGGGGTAGGGACAGAAGATCCAGGAGCTGGAGTGGAAGTTACAGCTGCTTCAGTACCGGTTACATGTACTGCATTTGTATTGGACGCAAGGCTATTGTTGTGTTGCGCGTGGTCGTTAGAAGATGCAGCCACAAAAGGTTTCTGGGGAGTTGTGTTGTCTCCTTTACCACCGGGTTCAGTTACGTGTCCCGCGGCAGGTGGGACTGGTACGGCTGTGTCATGGTGTTCTGAAGCTCGTACTGTCACTGCCTCAGGTACCTGGATGACGTCTTCCGTGCTTGGGCCCGCAGTAGCACTGGCCATACTCAGCGTAGATGTAGGTTGCTGTGCTTTTGTGCGTGTAGTGGGTATGCTAGATACACTGTCACCGTGCTGGGATGTGTTGGAGTTCACTTCAGAGTTCGAACCTACGCAATTCGTACGGGTACTCCCACGTTCGCAGGTCAACTGAGGTACAGAATCTGAAGGTTCAGAACTAGAGTTACTGTTAGTACGACTTGAACTTTCAGGCTCTCTGCCCGCCCTTACTTTACACTCTCGTGCTTCATGACCCGTTGTGCCACAGCGCCAGCACGTCTGGGTCTGCCCCCTGTGCCACACCCGCAACTTTCTCTTCCCAACGGTCACACACGACGGTACGGGTTTAGACAGTACGATATTGACGTACCTGATTCCTGTCTTGATGGACGTGCCTTCGAAGCTGATCTTGCCGTGTGATCATCGGACCAATGAGCTTGCCGAAAACCGACAAAGATGCCGAAAGTGGGCCATCAGGCATTCCGACAGGGCAACCAAACACATGGAGCTGAGTGGAGCCCTCGTCGGGGAGATGCAGTTCCAACTGCTCACCTCGTATGCAAAGTCCCTTGCTCAAAACCGTCTCGCGCTGAGCTCTACTTGAAAGTGTGACTTGGCACCAACCAGGTTTCCCATGCAGATCAATCTGCCTGACAGACTCTTTCACGTTTAAGGAATTGCCAGACAGTTCCTGCAGTATAAACTTATGGTCAGAAGGCCAATCTTTCGATACTTTGAAGGAAAACATGGATGGAGCAGGAGCTCCAAAATTTGCTCCTGCCTCCATCGCGTACGGTTCGGGTTAAAGCGTCCACCTGCCGAGTCGGCCCATTTCAGGGCGGCATCCGTGGCAACTTGGAGTGGGTGACTATGATGCTGGGAAGAGGGAGTGGTAGGTGCAGCGACTTCCGTAACAAAAAAGTTCCGTTCCAATGGTCGTGTCATCGGCGAAGAGAAGAGCTTGACAGTGGTCCTCATCTGGGATGGTCTGCGGGAGAGAGTTGATGTACAGAAGGAACAGGATAGGGCCGAGATGGGATCCTTGTGGTACGCCAGCGGCTAAAGGGTGGGTTGTGGTTACGGAGGAAGTGACTTTGACCGTGAATTGCCGGTCACCAAGGTAACTGGAGAACCACGAAAGTGCGTTCTGGTTGCAAACGTGCCCGGATGGTAGAGGAGGACTGGATGCGGCACTTTGTCGAACGCCTTAGCGAAGTCCAGGAACAGGGTGTGGTAGGTGCTCCGCTTGTCCATCGCCTTGGCTATCCTAGATGTCAGCATGACGAGCTGATCCAGTGTTGACCTCCGGCGGACGAAACCGTACTGGTGGGCAGAGATTATGTCATGTCTGGATAGGTACCTCGACAGGTGCTCCGCAATGATCGAATCTAGGAGCTTGGCAATGGCCGGAAGGAGGGAGATTGGTCTATAGCTGGTGGGTACTGCCGGTTGTCCATTATTCTTGAATATCGGGATAACAGTGGCGGTTTTCCAGTCTACTGGTAGTTGTCCGAGACGTAGACTGAGGTTGAGAAGCTGACACAAGGACTGCGTGATCACGGGCGCAGTTTCTTTCAGGATTCTATTTGTTATCAGTCCTCCGGTGGATTTTCTTGCCGGAAGTGTTCGGAGCTTTCGGAAGACTTCTTCTTCAGTTATTCTTGGCAGATCAAACTCATGGTCAGGTGTAGAGAACGAGGGCGTCAGGAGAGCTGCAGCTAGGTCGAAGCTAGGGTTTGGCGAGAATTGTCTTACAAACGTGTCTGCCAGCTTTTCTGCCTTGCTTGCGTCGCATGGGGCTTCCCCACTCTCGTCGGTTAGCGTCGGTAAGTTAGCCGTCTGGCTCGTAATGTTCGCGAGCTTCTTGGCTTGTGCCCACCGCCTGTAACTATTCTTTTCACTGTCGATACGCGGGCACAATTGGTTGAAGTAGTCCGCTTTGCTGCGCTTGAGGCTGCTCGAGAGGGCGTTGCGAACCACCTTGTACGCAACCCAATCCTGCACGGTGTTGGTTCGCTTGGCTAGGGCAAACATCCTGTTTCGCTGTTTGTGCAGTCGCTTGTGGCTTGCCGTGAACCAGGGCTTCGCAAGATGCTTTCTTCGTGGTCTGAGCAAACGTGTAGGCAAGTGACGGCGGATGCTCTCGTGGGTGTAACTCTGCCAGGAAAACCAAGCGCTCTCGATTGAGGTAGCTCCTTCTAAACATTCGTGCAGGGGCTGTGCCCATAGGTCGGCGCGCATAGCTTCGAAGTTTGTACTTGCATAATCCGGAATAGATATGTCTGTCTGGTGCTGCTCTCGAGGTTGGAAGAGTTTGACATTGCAGATGACTGGGCAATGGTCAGATAGTGGTGGGAGAACTTCAGGCTTAGTGACAAGATGGGGAGTGTTTGTGATGATGAGATCGAGAAGGGACGGGGAGGACCGGCCTGTTGGTGAGTAGCGTGTCGGCGTACCACTTACAAGTTGGAGAAGTCCCAGGTCATCGAGAATGGTCGATAGCTGCCGACCTTCCGTGGTATCCGGATCTGATTGGAGCCAACTAGATAATTTACAATTGAAGTCCCCAAGCAAGAGGAGTGGGAAAGGTGGATGATCTAGGTGGCGAGTGACAGTGGCGCGAAAGACAGTAAAGAATGTATCTCGTACCGCAACATTGCTATGTGGGGGTCTATAAAATGCATGGAAAACACATATAGGGTACTTAGGGTTATCCCGTTTGTGGTAGATTAAACAGATTTCCTCTACAGTGCATTTCAAAACTATAGACGCGTAGGGTTTTTGAAATATTTCAAATTGGGCTGGAACTTTTTGAGAATAGTTTTCGGAATATTGCTCAGGATCGCTCCACAATTACTCTCATATAGTTTCTAAAGGATTGGATAACAGACGCCCAATTTGGCCCTGGGTGAAAAAATTATGCACAAAGTGATCACAGATTTTATGTGTTATAGATGCTGGCATAACGGTTTTTGCCTAGGTACGCGTCTATAGTTTTGAAATGGACTGTAGGGAGGAGGATTCAAGGTGAGGGCAGCGTGAGAAAAACGGTGTTAGAGTGGATCGAACGTAGATGGCTACCCCACCACCAGTAGACGAAAGTATTGCATTATTCCTATCGCGCCTATACAGATTGTAGCCATTTAGTCTGAGCACAGCGTCCAGGAGGGACTGATGAAACCATGTTTCAGAGAGAAACATTACGTCCAGATTAGAGTTACATAGCAGCTGTTCAATCACTGGCAGTCTGCTTACCGCACTTTGACGGTTGAGCTGGCCAACACGGAGACCCGAGAATTCCTATGCCTTGCTTTGTGCTTGCTCTTGCTGGGGTGATCTTATGCCAAACATCCACGTCCCTCCTGCTATCGCAGTCGGGATGTATATTTTATATTCAGCCGGTATTGTTTGTTTTGTTTTTTATTATTTCAGTTCGTTGCCTCAACAGTACAAAGTACAAATATCAAGAGGGACGAACGAAAAGAGAAAATAAAACAGAGCAGAGAGGAAGATGCAACTGAAAGGAAAGGAAAACTGAGAGAAACGGAGAAGGAATGTGGACTGGGCGGATTCATGAACCATTACTAGAGCAGGGCAATGCATGAACAGAAGGGGCAAGTCCGTCGATATTCATGTTTAAAAAAATTCCAAGCCTTATATTATTGGTGAAATACATTTTCAAAAAGGAGGGGATATAGGGATATAGTCAATTTGTCGTCATTTAGAGCGTGCAAAAGTTCTGTAGAAAATGATCTAATGTCCTCACTTCCTTTCAAGTGAGCAGGGAGGGCATTCCACATAAGGGATGCTCTGGAGGAAAAGGAATTGTACCCTACCATGGATTTATACAAGCAAATTGACATATATCCCGGGCTGTTGATAGCCCGGTGACCAATATTTCTATTGTCCTGGAGCGTATACTCAACCAATGCCTGAAGTATGTCCCAGCACATCTGAAAAACACGCTGGAAGCACTGGAGGATATCCGGCAAGTGTATCCCGACCTACAAGCCCCAGCGGGGACCATCATCGTTACGATGGACGTGGTCGCTCTTTACCCAAGTATCCCTATCGCTGAAGGGGTGCAGGCGGTTGCTAGAGTCCTGCAGCAGCACATCGAGTCTGTTGACACATTTGGTTTAAGCGTGGAGCAGATCGAAGAGCTGTTAACCTTCGTTCTAAGATCCAATTATTTCAGATTTGGTGAGAAGGTCTACCACCAGAGGGAAGGCATCGCCATGGGTAACAACCTAGCGCCCCCGTTTGCGATTATCTTCATGCATGACCTCGAAACCTCGCTGTTGCTAAACTCGCCTGGTGCTCCCGTACTCTACAAGCGTTATATTGATGACATCATTATGCTGTGGACACTGGGGGCCGCGCTTCTCCGCCAGCTGATTGCGTTCTTCAATACCGCCAATGCGAGCATCAAGTTCACGTATCAATCTTCGGAGGAAACTGGGTCGGTTGACTTTATGGACACGACTATTCATGTCTCCTCCGAGGGCGCAATATCATTCGAGCTGTTCCGCAAAGCTTGCCACAGTGGCCTCGTCTCAGACTTCAACTCCTGCGTTCCGCAACAGCAAAAACTCGCCATCGCGTCTTCGGAATTCCTCCGCGCGGCCCGCCTTTCCTCTGATCCTGCAGCCCGCCAGCGAAGTGAGCAAAAGGTTATTGACACATTAAAATTCAACAACTTTCCTGACAAAGTGATCGCGACTGCTCAGGAACGAGCCAGACGACCTGCTAAACAGAAGAAAGACTATCGATCCACGTTGAAGTTACCATTCAAAACGGATGCCATCCACTACAGGGTCCACCGTCTTCTAAACAAATACAATCTAAATGTACAGATAATCTACAAGAATGCAAGGCTTTCCAACAGCGTCACTAAGTCCAGCCTCACTGGACCTTGCTGCCGTAAGTGGGTGGATCCCGCTGCCCCGAGGCGACGAGGAAGGCCTAAAGCCGCCTGCGTTGCATGCCAATCGAGCGAGGTAGAATGCACAAGACGCAACGTGGTTTATCGTCTGACCTGCAAGTGCTCGGAGAAGTATGTTGGAGAGACTGGCCGCAGTGTAGCAACGCGAACAAAAGAACACAATGATAACTCACGCAACAAGACGTCTGGAAAAGCCCTGGGCGAGCACTACCGACTTCACCATGGCGACGAGGTACTGCCGCTTGGCGAGTCGGCATTCACAGAGGTTCGCGTCCTTGCCACTGAGTCGGATCGGGCCAGGAGGAGAATACGCGAAGCAATACAAATTCGCGACACGAGCCCCAGCATAAACAATAACGCAGGGTGGGACCTCCTGTGAATTCTCTGGTGAGGCCTTGTGCATATTTCTGGCCCTGATACTCGCTCTTCCTGGATGGTGGTGGTTTAGCACCCCTTGAACTAGTGCACTGTTACTACTACTGTTGTTGCTAGCGCCTGCAATTACATGTCTGCACGCACCTAGTGCACATGTACATTCTGTTTGTTGCTTGTACCTGTGCCATTTTTAGAGTTGTCGCGTATTGCGTTATTTCTATACCTGGGTTTTTTTTGGTGATGTTTTGTCCTTTTGTTCTCTCTCTCGTCATAGTGCATGCAGGTGTGATTTGTTATCAGTTTGCAGCGCTCCTCGTATATTAACCCATCCTAACCGGTGTGCCCACTTCATTCCTGATGATGGTTATTTCATGACCGAAACGTTGAAATATAATATTTTCCTGGTGAAAAGCAGTTATTTGAGTGTGAGCCAGTGTTGCTCACAACCAATTTTTTAAATTGACATATTGTTTGTTGTAGTTCCACGAGTTGACCGCTTAGAGGTGGGCAAAGGGAAATGACTGCGTAAGCATGATGCGGGCTGAACAATGTGACAAATAAACGTAAACGTAAGAAATTGATAAATGTATCGGTATTCAAGGTGTTTTATTTGAAGAGAAGCAAGAAGGGGTGGTACAGCAGCATGATATGAAGCACCGCAGGTAACTCGGACAGCTCTACGGAACAAGGTAAACAATCCCTCCCTGGACTGTGCTGATAGGTGAGATGCGTAAACAGGGAAACAATACTCAAAGTCGGGATGAATCACACTACAGTCCATTCATTGGAAACTGGCACCCTAACTTTTTTGTGTCTCTCTCACATAGTTGTAGATATCTTGAAAACAACAGTACATCCTGCATTGTGTGACCCGTGCAATTACTCCTTGCCACATCTGAGGCCAGAAAAGTCCAAGAACAGGGAAATAGAATTCAGCCAGGTTTTACAAAATTAGGACAGGTATGCCATGGCAAAATGTATGGAGAAACAGATCCAAAACCCAGATTTTTGAGATTTAAAGTGGGTTTTTGATCCTCAATTCGGCCCAAATCCGACTTTCAAAAGCCAGCGGGCCAGTTTCCGATGAAAGGACTGTAAGCAGGTACTGGCGACGGGCAAATGCTGCCATTTGGCGGAAGGTGCGTCGCAACGCGCCTATCTTGCGTGACACCTTGCTGGTGAGGTGATCTACGTGTGGAGCAAACGAGAGCTTGTTATCGATAAGGATACCAAGGCAGCGAATTACACTCACTTCCCTTAAGGTAGTGCCGCCCAGCTCAACAAGAACGGGTCTTTGTACGTCAGGAGCATTCTTCGGCAATATCCTCATGACCACGGTTTTGTCAACATTAACGCTCATGCCCAGTGATCTTAGTTCATTGTGTATCTTAGCGAGAGCCGAGGACACGACATCGGCGCATACTATTGGATCTCGTGAGGAAGCGTACAAAGTCTTGTCATCGGCAAACATGAGGAGCTTTGCACCGCTCCCTACAGCCAGGTCAGGTAAGAGTCGCACATATACATGTAGGTTAAAAAGGGTGGGACCCAAGATTGTTCCCTGCGGAACCCCTCGGGTTACAGGGAGAAGAGATGATGTTCCAGAGGCTATACATACACGCTGGTGCCGGCCGTTCAGGTAGGAAGCGAACCATTTCAGGGCAGAACTATGAATGCCTAGGCTGTGCAAAGTGAAGATAAGTTCCTGGTGCACAACTCGATCAAAGGCCTTGCTTAAGTCAATAAAATTCAATGCTACAACAGTTGTATGACCCACATCTCTAGCCAACGTCCAGTCATTTACAGCCAAGGTCATGACCTGCACTGTTGATCGCTGGGGCCGGAAGCCAAATTGATGATCGTGTAGACAAGTATACAGGTCGAAGTCCCGCAGCAGTTGGTCGGTATAAGTTATAACCCTCTGATTATGACGCGGCCGATCGGGTTATATGGGTCTTTTTGAGTCGGCATCTGTAGTGTTAATGCCGCTGTCAGTGTTGCTCGTGGTCTCCCACTGGCAAGCTCCACCGCCGCAAGAACCGATGGCGGAGGATCAGGAGGAGGCAGTGGGACCGGGACCGCGAGCAACACTGACAGCGGCATTAACACTACAGATGCCGACTCAAAAAGACCCACCTTGCATATCAGTAGCTCCCACACCAACACCAACAACGCAATCTACAGCAACCACAACTAATCCGCCATCCAAGCCCATAATTGAAAGACCAAGACGATCAACAGCCAACTACAACAGAAGCTACGCACTCAGCGGACAAGGGCGAAAGGAGGGACGTGATAGCAGGGTGACGGCCGAGTTGAGTTCAATGGACCCGGTCAGGCGGGATGGACGAGACAGAGAGAGAGTACAGAGGAAGCGGAGGATGGAACGGACGGCGGAGGGAGCAGTGAGTCGGAGAGCAGTGATGGGAGTGATGGTGAGAATGCCGGTGAAAGTGTTAGTGTTGTGCGTAGGTTTCGTGGTAGCAAGTCTTCAGTGTACAATCATCTGCTAGCTAGTCCTGATTGTTGCAATTCGTATTCCGACTCTTCGTTCACTGTATTGTGCCGTGGTCGTCATGGTTATGGACTACAGTTAAAAGTGTTGGAAGCTTTCTATCAGCGTCTGTACAAGCCTAATTTGTGTGTACAGAAAGATAGTATAATTGGGTTGAAATTGTTCAAGTAACGTGTCGTGTTTAGTGCGGCCAAGCTTGGCCGTTAATGTTCTAGGTGTAATGTACTGCTGTTATGTGTTATCACGTTGTCTTTCCTTCCTTTCTCCTTTGTTCATTTCTCGCTTTGATTGTTAAAATTCACACTTGTAAATTTCACTGTTGTTGCTCTTAGTGTTATTTCTCTAACTTAGATTTTCTATAATAGTTCAATTTTTGTTTCAGTGTCCTTTAGTACAACGACGATTCCTGATGAGTGTTGTACGAAAACTTGTTTGAATCCATATTTTTTCCCTACACCATTTCTTCATATTTTCATCGTTTTATTGCACATCGTCTCCACCGTTTCTACATTGCATGAATAAAGTATACAAATGTCGGTTCAGCTAGTTTTATTGATTGCGGTTATCAAATTATTATTATTATTATTACAAAAAATGTATTATCTACGCATGCATCTACTTCGAAGTACGCAAGAGTCACCACCAGCCAATTAGGACATGTGTCAAAGTATTGAACGTTTTCGTTCCCTTCTTGTCAAAATACTACAGGGAATGATGGAAATAGGCTAAAAGACTACAACTATAAGGAAAAGAAGTTCAGAAATATATCACTCCAATTATGTGTAGAAGTGACACGAAAAAATAGATGTGAAGAATCAAGAAAACAGCATGCAAATCCAATAAGTGACAAAAACGTAGTGACAAGAAAAAGAGAAAAATATCAAGAGATCTATTTCACACCTTCACGACGAACAGTGCCAAACAACTGCAAAGACAACACATTCTCCTTCTGAACACAAAGCTCAGGGTCTAACTTACGTATGTACAAAGCTTCCAACACGGCAAGATGTAACAAAGACCTACCACGCGACAAAACAGAGAATACATCATCGGAATACCACTCACGACAACTAGCACTGCCCGACAGGTGACACTTGATTGCCGAGGTACCGTTTCCCTGACCCGACGACTTGGCCGTTGTCACCTCCGATATTGCCGCTTGCGAATCTCTCCCATTACGCCCTGCGTCCCTGCAATTCCGATTGCCTCGGTCGAGATCAGTGTGCTGCTCCACGTCCAGTCTGTCCTGCTTCCGTGGTCTACCTCGTTTCTTCACATTAACCGTTGTTGTCACTTCCAGTATTGGTTCTTTTGATTCGTCAATTCGTCTCCTCAATCCTAAAGTGGTTTTCCGCCTATCTGTCGGGCCGTACTCAGCGTATCTGTATTGGACGGGATCAGAGTGCCATTTCTGCACCATCCTGTGGCGTGCCACAAGGTTCTGTTCTAGGACCGATCCTTTTTAGTATCTACACCCGCGAAGTTCCAACCATAGCTAACCAGTCTTCATCAGTTCAATTTGCCGATGACATCGCGCTGATCAGCAGCAGCACATCCCTGAACACGGTATCTGCTACGCTATCGGCCTCGGTTTCTGCACTTGCTGACTGGTTGCAGACCCGTGGTCTCATTTTGAATGCAGCCAAGAGTCACGTGATCCCTGTATACCCCAACAGGCAGCCTCAGCAGCCCCAGCATACGATCAATGTAAACTGTCACGAAACGCCGATTCCTGTCGTTACTGCGGCCAGGTATCTTGGAGTGCTCCTCGACTCGGATCTGTCATGGACGCCCCATGTTGATCGCTGCACCGCTCGACTGGCCCAGAGGATCGGAGCACTATGGAGGTTGCGTCGCTGCTTGACTCATCAGAGCCGAGTTCTCTACTTTAAAGCGATCATCATGTCTGACCTGATGTACGGATCCAATGCGTTTTCCCCGCTTCTTACTGCCAACCAATTGGATCGGCTACAAGTCATGCAGAATCGGGCGGCAAGGGCTGTTTTCGGACTCTCGCATCACACCTCCGCGCGTACCCTCCTGCTGCAATTGGACACCTACAGAGTATCCGAGATATTCAGGCAGAAGTTCATCGTTCTGGTCTGGAGGTCTCGGAATGGGCACGCAAGTTCTGATCTGCAAGCCCTCCTAGTTCCTTCGTCAGCTGGCCCAACTAGGTTGCACTCCACCATGGGTCTGCGCCAACCGCCAGTTTCCACCAGGTTCGGCAAGGGTTGCCTCGCGTTCCGGGGCGCCCAGCTGTGGAACACCTTACCCAGCGATATACGTGCCATCTCCACGCTCCGCCAGTTCCGCGCCAGCATGATCCCGCACACCCTTAGTACCTAGAGTACCAAACGTCCTGTTTGATGATCAGCTGGCTTAGTTTTTCTCCACCTGTATCCTAATTACATCAGTCCCCAATTTCATTTATTACTGCTTTCTATCTGCATTCGCCACCTTTTCATTGGGCAGATCTGCCCGTTTGGTTTGCGAATTAAAATAAACACAACAACAACAACAATTGACTTCTGGTGACTCGTCCGGGGCTCGATTGTCCAGATGTCAGTTTCGGTGGTTTCCGTATAGGTCTCTTCTTCTTGTTGACTGTTGTTTGTTTGGAAACCACCGAAACTGACATCTGGACAATCGAGCCCCGGACGAGTCACCAGAAGTCAATTGAGGAGACGAATTGACGAATCAAAAGAACCAATACTGGAAGTGACAACAACGGTTAATGTGAAGAAACGAGGTAGACCACGGAAGCAGGACAGACTGGACGTGGAGCAGCACACTGATCTCGACCGAGGCAATCGGAATTGCAGGGACGCAGGGCGTAATGGGAGAGATTCGCAAGCGGCAATATCGGAGGTGACAACGGCCAAGTCGTCGGGTCAGGGAAACGGTACCTCGGCAATCAAGTGTCACCTGTCGGGCAGTGCTAGTTGTCGTGAGTGGTATTCCGATGATGTATTCTCTGTTTTGTCGCGTGGTAGGTCTTTGTTACATCTTGCCGTGTTGGAAGCTTTGTACATACGTAAGTTAGACCCTGAGCTTTGTGTTCAGAAGGAGAATGTGTTGTCTTTGCAGTTGTTTGGCACTGTTCGTCGTGAAGGTGTGAAATAGATCTCTTGATATTTTTCTCTTTTTCTTGTCACTACGTTTTTGTCACTTATTGGATTTGCATGCTGTTTTCTTGATTCTTCACATCTATTTTTTCGTGTCACTTCTACACATAATTGGAGTGATATATTTCTGAACTTCTTTTCCTTATAGTTGTAGTCTTTTAGCCTATTTCCATCATTCCCTGTAGTATTTTGACAAGAAGGGAACGAAAACGTTCAATACTTTGACACATGTCCTAATTGGCTGGTGGTGACTCTTGCGTAGATGCATGCGTAGATAATACATGTAATATTATTATTTGAAACTCGTATTATTATTATTATTATTATTATTATTATTATTATTATTATTATTATTATTATTATTATTATTATTATTATTATTATTAAATTTTAGATAGGGCAATCCCCACAGGCCTAAGGCCTTCTTACAGGGTACCCTAAATGTGCCAATACAAGGTTACGGAAGCGAGAAACAGATGTGCATAGGCGAATGTCAGCAGGTAGAGAGTTCCAACGATCTGAGCCTAGAAAACTAAGAGAAAAAAGACCATACCGATTTGAAGCAGGGGGATAAGGGCTGCAGAAACTTGAGAGCGTGTACAGGAGTTTGTATGTGACGATGCACTGCGCCTATATAATTATAGTTTACCATGATGTTAATTTGAGTGCATGCAGTATGCACTGCACAGTCATGACGGATATATCCGTCATATGGTCCTTAAAGGGTTTAAAAGAAATGACCACAACAAAATTATAATAATTATGCGGAAAAATTGCCATTTTTCAACTGCCACCTGCTTCCCAACACCAAGGATTATGTGAATAAGAAAACCAACATTGCAATCCAAGGACATCAGAATTACGTTTTTAGAGGAAGAAATGGAAAGATTCACACCTCGAGCCCTACGGAAGGCTTTTTTACTTTCATGTTAAATAATGACGAATCACCTCGTACTACTCCCTGATTCCGACCCTCGTCTCGGCCGTGGACCTACATTGTAGTACTGATCTACCTAGCTAGCTATATAGCTGGCTGAGTGCCACAACGTGGATACAAACTGGTGCCAAATAGGGCTTCCGCTTCCTCATCCCCCACTGCATGCCTAGTAGTAGTAGTACAGCCTCGTCCAAATCAGGAACCCGAAATAAAGCAATTTTACGCTGAAACTCTTCAAGGCTGCCTCCAATTTTTTTGCACAATGCCTGTTGTCAGTGCTGAAATCAAGTGTTGCTCTGTTTTCACCTGGAAACGGCGGGAGGAGAATATGAAGCTCAGACCAGAGCTGTCACTGATATGGTACAAGGATGTGGCTGGCACAACACATGTCTGCTGACCACGATGCTCGTGGCTGCGACATTGCTGCCGTCGGGATTAGTGGGTAAGACCTTTTAGCACGGCTGCAATTTTATATTTATATATCTATCGCGAAAAGTGCTTCCTGAAAACTGACACCAGTATCGCTATGTCTTGCACCTTTGGGGCGATGAATACTCGATACTATTTTAGTACGCTCAACGCATTCCCAATAATTATTATAGTTTAGCGATGTCGAATGTGATGTGAAGGACCGACTTGTCGTTGTGTACTCATTGTAGTTTTATTTGAATGTAAAGAAAAAGCAATCACGCTGCATGCTGTCAACATCGAGTCAACTGTTGGGTGCCCAGACGGAGAAGGGCACGACGTAGCTTATAGCGTACTGATTCCCTGAGCTACTTGGGTCGTCCGTGGGTGTGTGTGCGTGTGTGTGTGTGCGTGTGTGTGTGTGTGTGTGTGTGTGTGTGTGTGTGTGTGTGTGTGTGTGTGTGCCGTACTCCAACTACCCGACGGGTTCTCAGGAGAAAATTGCCACCCTACTACAGTCGTCGCCAAAAAATTCCGGCCAAATGCAATGCTAGCTACCAGTACGCGGTAGCTGTACTACTGGGCGTGGGCCGCATGCACTGCTATCATAGTGGTAGTGGTACATGTAGTGCAGTTACTTCACTGTTCACATGCTGACAGGCTAGGTCTGCATACACTCACTCAGACTCAGCGCAGTGCTCGACCCGACCGCAGCAGGCAGAGTGCGGCGCAGACTGTTCAGTGCTGTCCAGTGGCCTAGTGCCGGCATGGTGCCACTCCAGTGCATGAACCCGTGATGAAGTACCGCGTACCTACCATACCTATGTACGCGTATCCGTGGCATTGGTCGGGTTTTTTTGGCGACGCCTGTACCTGATCTACTTGCGGGTACCACGATTACCCTACTACTGTTTTAAGTCAACACATATTCTACGCATATTTATTTTCGGCTACTTTCGGCCTGGTAATATCTGGCCGAAAATTTGTTTCAGCCTAACTTTTGTTTTGCAAGGTTCAGTGTGACAGACTCACAGTGTGAACAGGCAGCAGCTGTACAGGCCGAAAATGTGTTGCAGCCGAAATGTGTTTTAGCCCTGGGAGGCCGGAATTGGAATGGGCCGAACATTCGTACACTTACACTACCCGATGACACCCCGGCATATTTTGCAATTCTACTTGTGCAGCCCCCAACCCCCCCCCCCCCTCCTCCCCCCCCCCGCCCCGTCACAATTGGTTCACCATAGGGGTGAAACGATTACATGTAGTTCGAATATTCGAGTATTCGTTCGAAAATTTCAAACGAGCGAGTATTCGAAATTTTGCACTCGATGGTTTTTTTTGTTTTTTTTTTGGTATTGACATTCTATTTTTTCAAAAACTTTCGTTGCACCGCTCGTCCACTGGTACATGGTATGCATGCGTTATGCATGCCTTTGAGTCAGTATTTTATGACTTGGACGATGGGATCACCACGGCAAGTAATGTTAGTTATGAATGTACTGATGAAAATCGTTACTTTTAATCCACTTTGTACAAGACGTTGGCGACTTTTGTTCTATGTTCACAAATAATTACTTCCCAATTGGTCGAGAACTCACAGATCTAGAGCTTTTGAATTTTGATAAAATACTCGAAAGAATCGGATACTCGATCGAATATTATGAACGAGTGATCGATTGGTCAAAATAGATACTCGTTTCACCCCTAGTTCACCAATATCAAAGAGTGGACCAATGAATCTTGCAATTCTCTCTCTCTCGTTGCTGCCGATCGTGATAGGTATAGGCAGCTTGTTTATCAGTGTAGTTAGTTAGTTTATGCTGCTGCCTTATGACACACATGAAGCCCCTACGACCTGAATGGTTATAGGTTATACATACAAACATACATACATACGTACATACATACATACATACATACATACGTACATACATACATACATGCATACATACATACGTACATACATACATACATACATACATACATACATACATACATACATACATACATACAGTCATACAGTCATACATACATACATAGGTACGTACGTACGTACATACATACATACATACATACATACATACATACTTGTGCACAATTGTGTAGCCGGTCGTAACGTGGACGTGTTAACTTGACCTTTTTACTTGTGTGCACACTTCCACACAGACGCGTACAAGAGCTGCCAGTACCTCAGGAATGACACGTTCGACGACCGGAGAGAGCGCAACGGTTGGATTGGCTTCGGCACGGATGCCTCTGAAGGCTGGACTCTCACCACCACGTCGCCGCCCGGCATACTAGCGCCGCGCGCCGACCATTCGTCCGGCCTAGGTGAGCACTGCACCGGGTCCCAGGTAGTGCCTGATTCATACTTCATTTCGCGTACGGGAAGCGTGTCGCTTCGCGGAAAAGTTGATTTGAGCTGAACTATTTTGGCCCATCGCGCGACGATCTCGCCGCGATCTTTCCTGCACGCGAAATGAAGTATGAATCGGCTTTAAAACGCTTTCCCATGCACTTTGCAAAGTGTACTAGACCTCGTAGAGGACAAAAAGGGCACCACTCTAGTGGGTTTCAAAAGTCCAGACCTCTGTTTTCAAAAACACGTTTGGCTAGCATCTATACCATATGATAGCTTTGATCACTTTGTGCGTAAAATTTCCGAAATTGGGCGTTTGTTATCCAATCGCTTCGAAATTTAGATGAAAAAAAGTTGCGGAAGCTGCCTGAGCAATATTCCATAGAAATTTCTCAAAAAGCTCAAACCAAATTTGAATTTATAGAAAAGAAAAAGGAGCAAGGAACTACAAGTTACGCTATGATGTCCACTAACACCACCAGGCACTAAACAATCAGCTCATGCGATAACATTGCACGACACTGACCGACGGTACTGACGTTCTACAACTAGCTGGCTACACAACTAACTATAAATTTATCCTTGGCTCTCCATCCGAGTCCGAATTGGTATTGTTCGAAATAAAATTCTAGAGATCTATACTTTTGAAATGCACTATAGTTTGTTTACTGTAAGGCCAGTAATGTTAACGAACATTTAATTCTAACGAGTTAACGGATTTGAAGTCGTTATATGCATAGCGATATGTGCATGTACCGTCATTTTCCGGTTTCGAGACAGAATTCCTTCGAATTTCATCTCGCTAACCCACAAAACTCCGGAGATCGTTAACTTTAATCGACGTTAGATAATCTGGTCTTACAATAAATAACCCAGTGAGACGTGTACTTTCCGTTGGTTTCTGGCTCGCTTTGCTGCTTACAGGGCTCTATGCGTACATCAACACCGCCCAACTCCTTACATCCAGGTCATCTTCACAGTACACACTAAAGTCGCCCACGCTCTCCAACCCGAATCCGTACCAAGGGGATTGCTACGTCAGCTTCTACTACAGCATGAACGGCCAGGGAAATCGTGAGTAGCGTACTTTGTTCGGGCTAGCGTGGACATCTGCGCTAATGCGCTAATGCACGTACTTCCTCCGTTAATCAAAACTTCGTTGCGTTTTTACAGTTCAGTCAAAAGCATTCTATGGCTACGAACACGCTTTGCAAAGTGGAAAACAAGGCAGCATATGAAAGATATTTATTTACAGATGTCACACAGCTCGTTTCAAAGCAGTCCAGCTTCACTCTTCGTCTGAATCTGATGACGATTCACTCCCTGATGACATCGAGTCTGCATCCTCGCTGACTGTCGCCGCCAGCGCTGCCAGCTTTTGTTCCGCAGCCTTTTCAAGTTTCCAAGACACGATTATTTTGATCGTGGAGATCGCCAAGTTCTTCGCTCGAACTGTGCCCTTGACGACCTCCACGGTGGCGCTGATAGTTGTGGCCACTCTCCGGACCGACATGGAAGGAGGCATACAGACCCAAACAAACGCTCGCCATTTTCGCAGCGGTGTGTCGTGCCAGCACGTTTCCACACCCTGCAGAAGCTCCTTTCTGGTTTCCTTCGACACGAGTGACACGTCTGTCTACAGGCTGTGGAAGAACGCCAAGTCGTCGACGTTGAGATCAGGATTTCGCGCCGACTGAACGGCAACCTGAATGTCGAACGCTTTTAATTTCCCCTGCGCTGCAAACACAAGTGCATTGATTTTGGCTGTGTGCGGATGCGCACCATCGACTCGTGCTAGTACCATGAGTACAGCAGTGCCTGAGTGCTGGCCGGCTCCTGGACACTTCTTCGAGCCACGCGGTCTTTCAAACTGTTTTTCATTTTCGCACTTTGGTGTCATGCGCGCGCGCCTGGGGTTGTGTTGTGGTGACATCCTGTCGAGAAACGGTTCTGCTTCGCCGATTTTTTCAAAGGACTCCACGTTTTTCGGAGGTTCAAAAGCCTGTCAGAACAATGGACGACAACTCAGCTACTCTATGTCGGGGATAGATCACTGACATGTATGTCTAATGCCGGCAGAAATACCATGACAAGAACACTAAAAACGCAACGAAGTTTTGCTTAACGGAGGAAGTACGAACACACACACACACACACACACACACACACACACACACACACACACAACACATGCGAACGTGCACGCGCACACACACACACACACACACACACACACACAACACATGCGAACGTGCACGCGCACACACACACACACACACACTCACACACACACACACACTCACACACACACATACACACACACACACATACACACACACACACACACACACACACACACACACACACACAATGTACCACCATGTATACGCCCGTCGCAAGAGAAGCACGCAAATCTGCAAGTGCACTGGATGTGCACCCACAGATTTTCTCTTATAGCAACGACAGCGAACAAGATCTGAATGAGACAGATCAAGACTTGCGCCAGATAACTGTCTAATCCACATACCTGGCGAAGTCATGTGAATCGACCACCAATGCACACCTGGTCTACACCACACGGAGTACATCGGTATAAAACGGACAAGACAGTAACCTATGCACACCCTACACTTGCTGGGGTAACCAGTATAGACAGCACGCTGCTTTCATAGAAGCAGACACTAGATGCACTGGTACCTTGAAGTGAAATTGGAGTTACTTTACCAACCAGCCTCGCACACACACACACACACACACACGCACGCACGCACATGCATGCACACACATGCACGCATGCACATACACATGCATGCACATACACATGCATGCACATACACACGCACAGCTTGGCTGTTTATAGCATTTTATACCAGCAAATCACGTATGCATGTGTATATGAATGTGTGTGTGTGCACTTTTGTTTTGTTACTGTGTGTGTGTGTGTGTGTGTGTGTGTGTGTGTGTGTGTGTGTTCGTGTGTCCGTGCGCGTGTGTGTGTGTGTGTTTGTTTGTTTGTTGCTCATGCGTGTACATGATGTGTGTGCGTGTGCGCCACACACTTACGCTCGCTGGACATTATCTCTTTCTTGCCCATGCCAGGTACACTAGAGCTATACGAGATTCTTCAACCAGGCCCAGAGCGTCTGCTGTGGGCCCACAAGGGTTCCCAGTGCACCAATGGCGGCTGGACTTTCGCCGAAGCGCGCATACCTACTAGCAAGGTGTCTGAGCTGGTTGCTTCCGGAGCGAATTCTCTGGCTAGTTTTGCGGTAAGCATGTCTTACTCCCCCCCCCCCCCAACACACACGCACACACACACACACACACACACACACACTCACGCGCGCGCGCAGACACACACACACACGCACACACACACACACACACACACACACACACACATGCATGCCGTAGTGTCTTGCATAAAAAGCCTGTCTGGTATTTGTTAACCCTTTTACCCTCTGCACTCAATGTATTGTGTGCATTGAATTGCACCGTCTACATTCGTACCTTTAATTGGACGTAACTTTGGTTCCCCTGCGGCAATTCATGTTGGACATCCTGGAAAGCTCGGGACGATAGGAACACAATGGATACTGAGCATATTTGTCATTGTTGTGTAAATTTATTGTAGATTGGCTTCGCCGTTCTCTTCTCGCATGGCATCGACACACCACCGTTGGTTGGAGATATCGCGCTGGATGACATTAACATACGCTGCTGTTCCGGTAAGGGCGAGGAGAATGTGGTTCTTTGCAAGCGAAGCTGGGTACAACATAAATGCACTCACGCTATGCATGCAGCAAGTCACGACTGGCCCGCGACCCATGACTGTATGAGTGCGCTTGGTTTACGTGCGGCCCTTCAAGATGCGATTCGTTTTGAACGAAACGGGGTTTGCTACAAAGGTTCAGTTTTGTATGGGTTCAAACAGGGACATAGGTAAAGATTCTCTATATCCGATTTAACTCGAATACTGAGCCAATAGATATAATAATTATTAAAATAGAAGAAATCACATGGAAACAAGTTATGAAGCAACTATCCAATAACTCATTTCCATGTACATATGTATTTTAAAGGGGAAAAGGACATAATTATGGAGTTAAGAGTAACTCTCCATCACTGTAACCAGATACTATACACAGTCAGAAAGTGCAATAACTAGGCACAAAACTGACAGAGTACTGAGACATTTATTTTATTATTGGCTCAACATCCGAGTGTATGTATGTATTCTTTATTTTACTTCGCAAAGTCAAACGGGATTGTTGCCCAAAAATATGATAGCGAAGTGATTTCTTCTATTTTAATTATATCCGATTTCGTTATAATTGAAGTGGCCTGTACATCTGTGCTTGCGCTTTTTCAGGCTGCGCAGTTCCCTCCATCTTGTCGACTGCCACGTTCGAGAGCAGCAGCAACGGTTTCACGTCGGACCCGACGGGCGACCTGAGCTTCCAACGGCACCGCGGACCCGGGCCGAACGAGGGCACTGGGCCGGCGGTCGATCACACCATCGGCCACCCTGGCTGTCAGAACAGCGGTAGGTGATTGTTGCGCTCCGTTCACAGTGTCCCACATGCACAGTAAAACCTGTCAAGGCGACCGCTCGGATAAGGCGACCACCTCTCCTAGGAGACCACTGGAACCAGGGCCAAGGGATACTATTTCCAGCCTATTGACACTGACCGACGGTACTGACGTTCTACAACATTCTCATACAACGTTCTCATTATCATATTTATATAAGTTAGAACCTTCCAAGTTGGAAGGCTGTTGGAGTGCGCATCCAAGATGTGCTAGAGCTGTTAGCCAGTTGTAGAACGTCAGTACCGTCGGTCAGTGTCGTGCAATGTTACCGCATGAGCTCATTGTTTAGTATCTGTTGGTGGTGTTAGTGGACATTATAGCGTAACTTGTAGTTCCTTGGTCCTTTTCTTTTCTATAAATTTATCCTTGTCTCTCCATCCGAGTAGAGTAGTAAAATTTAATATTGACGATAGTGTGACATGGCGTGGATGGTGTCGAAGTACATGAGCATTCAGAAGTGTAAAGAGAAGATCGCTGCAGGTGAGGTGGCGGTAGATCACGGCTCATGTACTCCGCTTGCGCAAGGGTACAGCCACGGCTGGGAATTCGGAACAAGTCGACACGGGAGGGCAGGCTTTGTCACTGTCATCAGCGCTCGCTGCGTTGTCTTCGGCTCTCT